GAGTGGGTTGTGCCTATTTACGGTAGGACCACGCCCAGGAAAGTCCCCGGACTACTTTCCGCAGAGATGCGGCCTTGGAAACAAGTGCGCTTCGAGCGTGAGAGTCCATTTCGCCTTCAGTGCGATAGGGCTGAGACAAGTGTGGAGCCTTTGAACTCTCGCCGAAGTAGATTGGCCAACTAACACAGTTATTCACGCGGTCCACTGGACTAACTGAACGGGGCTTACGATCTTGTGGTCGATTATTTTTGTAAATACATTATAATGAATTTTAAAATAAACGAGGGTAAATTATGTTTATTATAATTCTTCTCTCACTTTTTGAAAATTACATCTCTTTTTTTTAGGTTTAAAATTTCATTATAAATTTCTCTTATTTAATTTTTTTTAAATACCAATTTTGTCTTTATTGGGTAAATTATAATGGCACCCCTTACATTTTAAAAATTACAATTTCCTCCCTAAAATTTCAAGTAGCATTACCAATTTCCCTCTCGGTTAGTATTAGTTAGAAAAAAAAATTCATTGGAAAAAAAATTGTTAGTAAAATTTTTAAATTTTTGTTTAAAAACTAACGTAAACTTATTTATTGAATTTACCTTTTTTTCTCAAATTTACAAACTGAGACAATTATTTATAAGCTAAAAAAATTATCAAACAAGTTTTTATGATAGTTTTTAAAATTTTTGTAAATATAAATTGAAAACTGAAAACGAAATGGTTACTAAACAGGCCTCAGATGGTAAAAATGTCATAAAATTAACAAATAATTAAATAAGTTACCAACGTAAGAAATGACTTATCAAAAGATTCTTAGGTTATGTACGGTTTGATTTTTAGAAAAAAACTTTAAAAATTAAAAATTAATTTGGCTAAGAAATAAAAATAAAAAATAATTATCATTTAACAGTAAAAAATAATTATCATTTTAACTTTTGAGCAGGTTATATACATACGTATGACTGTTTCAATTTAATTTGTAAAAAATTATTTCTAACCACTCGAAAGATAAAAATAATATAAAAATGACAATTATTTTTTATTTTTTTATTTCTTAACCAAATTAATTTTTAATTTTAAAAAAAAATTCTAAAAATCAAATCATACATAGTCTAAGAATCTTTTGATAAGTTATTTCTTACATTGGTAATTTATTTAATTATTTGTTAATTTTGTGACATTTTTACCATCTGAAGCCTGTTTGGTAGCTATTTCATTTTCAGTTTTCAATTTATATTTACAAAAATTTTAAAAACTGTCATAAAAACTTGTTTGATAATTTTTTTGGTTTATAAATGGTTGTCTCAATTTGCAAATTTGAGTCAAAAAATGTGCTTACGTTGGTTTTTAAATAGAAATTAAAAAATTTTACAAACAAAATTTTTTTCAAATAATTTTTTTTTCCAATTAATTTTTTTTTCAATGAATTTTTTTTCCAACTAATACCGAGGGGGGCAATTGGTAATGCTATTTTAAACCTTAGGGAGGGGATTGTAATTTCTAAAATGTGAGCGGTATCAATGTAATTTACCTAGTGAGGGAAAAATTGGTATTTAAAAAAATTAAATTGTTAAAGAAGAGAATCTGTAATGAAACTTTAAACTTCAGGGAGAGATATAATTTTTAAAAAGTGAGGAGAAAAATTATAATAAATATAAACTTCAGGGGATGTCGGGTAATTTACCCAATAAACAAAGAAGAAAAAAAGAAGCAAGATACGTTCAAGACCTCTCTGCTTGTTGTTTATCCAAACATGTCCGCCACAAGTACATCCCACATCGGAACATAAGGCCAACTCTTTAAGCTTTAAAAGCTATGATGCTAAAGCTTTGCTGATAACAGTTGATAAGACAGCGTGAGTGGGCTTGTGCAAAGCCCAGGAAAGTCCCCGGGCTTTCTTCTGCAGAGATGTGGCCTTGGAAACAAGTGGGCTCAGAGCGTGAGAGTCCACTATCCCAGTTAGTGTGATAGGGCTGAGACAAGGGTGGAGCTTTTGGACTCTCGCCGAAGTAGATTGGCCGACGACACAGTAATTCACGCAGTCCATAGCACTAACTGAACGGGGCTTACGATCTTGTGGTCGATTATTTTTGTTATGTGTTGCATTTAGATGCTATGTTGTATTTAAAATACACTATAATAAGTTTTAAAATATTTATTTATTTTATTCCAATATTTTTGAGAATATTAAGAAAAAAAAAAGCAAGACACGTTTAAGACCAGTTCGTAAATCATTTTTTATTTTTATTTTTTGGCAGTTTGGATTCTTTTAAAATTTAATCGAATTTGATTTGATTTTCTGAATTTGCTTTTTAAAGTATAAATTAATTTGTTAAAAAAAAACACTAAACAAATATTTATAAATTTATGAAAATTATTTCTATCCCAAATAAGATAAAATTATATGAAAATGTTTGAATTTTTTCATTTTTTGTCCCAAGCTTGTGTATTCTGTTCGTTGGTCTTTAATTGTAGTTATCATTTTTATATTTATACTATTATATAAAGTCAACACAAAATTTCACATATTTTATTTTCCTAAAAATGCCTATGACAATTTTAAAATTGTCTATACAAAAAAAAAAAAAAAAATTATGTCCTCAAAATTATACCTATTTATCTTTTTCGTTATTTGTATATTTGCACACGCATCACATATGCGCCTATTATTAATATCTATAGAAGTCTCTTGAACATTCCTCTTCGGTAGTAGCAACTCGAGCATATTTGAAATTCAAGGTGAAAAATCTAATCGAAACTCTTTTTAGTAATTTTTTATATTATAATTTAACATGTGTTCAATTGTGACCATGTATAATTACATGTGTTCAAAATTGTTCACTTTGTTATTATTTTTCCTAAAGATGAGAACATATTTACACTATTATTATATTATATGTGACTGAGTGTTTGACAGGTATGACTTTTTTAATTTTTTGGTTTAACGGTTAGGAGTGTCTGGAACAATTTATATGTATTTCGACTAATTTAGTTTGATCCCACTAATCGAATCTTGAGCAACTGTGTAGGAACTAGGGGTGTGCATAATATCGCCGAAACCGCCGAAACCGCCAAAACCGCACCGAACCGCACCGCCAAGGCAAATTCGTTATTATTTGCCAATCGAACCGCCGGTTTTTGGTAAGAAAAATGGCAAATTCTAGTGACACTTTTATCAATCCGCCGGTTTCTATTTGAGCAACTGTGTAGGAACACACTCACCAACCACTCAATCAAGACAACCCTCAAAATTGCCATAAGATGACTTTAAGTATGTTTTTCTTCAGCACAAAAAAAGATTGGAGCAAATTATTATCGGTGTCAATCTCTTTTTGATTTCAATTGTCCATTTCAACTTTGAATTGATATAGATATTCATATTATAAAGTTTTGCACAAAATGGAGGGTAAAATACGAAATCCAAAAACAACAACACATGTATCAAGTGGGCTGTAATGCTAATTTCTTAGAGTATTTCTCATGCTTTACTAATTTTTTTCAACTAATTTGATTTTAAATTTGAATAAAGAATTTGATTTGATATGAATTACTTTAACTCTTTCATCAAAATGTTTTCAAAATTTTCTCTTATCCCAAATTTTATTTTCATCAAATTTAATGAAAACAAATCAACTGCAAAAATGATTCACCCAAAAAAAATCAACTGCAATGTTTCATATTTTTAAAATTTTATAAAATTCAAATTTTATAAATAATTTAATGAGTTCTTACTTTTGATGAAAAAAAATAATTCTTTCCTAATTTAATGAACCTTAATTTTTTAATACTAGTGAACCATGGGAGATGTTATCATTCATTGAGTAGGCGTACACACTAAGAGCATCTACATTGGTCGCAATAAATTATTATTTTTGATTAAATATAAAAAGTAAACTATTAAAATGTTGTTCTACCAATCCTAACAAATTAATTTTATGACTAGTTATTATTTATAGTAACTCAATAAATTTGTTGAGCCACAATTCATTGATTATTCAATAGTTTATTATTATTTTTTTTGATAAATTAGACCTCACTATATTGACTTTCTTGAGTACTCATCATTAAAAGAATGGATAATAAAATAACTCTTTAATAAAATAAAATGATAAATTACAAATACATGCCTTTGAAATTTTTAATTTCATAATAAATGACACATTTTATTAATAAATTATTAAGTCATTTAACAATATTTAATAATATCAAAAATATATTTTAATTAATAATTCAAATTATTTTATTACTGTATTGAAGAATAGTTAATAATTTCATTTTTTAGTTAACTCTGTTAAATAAATTTTTTTAACAATGAGATATTTGTAATTTTTCAATTTACAAAAAATAATTTATATTTTAAATAAATATTAAAAGGTGCATTTGTAATTTACCTTAAAATTAAAGTTAGAATAGATTGTCTAATGATGATGGATAGTGAATTTAAAAAGAGAACTATATAAATGGAAATTCTAACATACACACTCTTCACATGGTGCATCATATGCACCCGTAGTTATGTAATTTTTTTCTTTAATTATGACATTATTTAAGGTATGATTCATGAGATTTGTAATCATATTCCATGTTGTGTTTTTATTAATTATAATTTCAAAAAATATAAAATTATGTTATTTTCTTTAATTATAAAATTTATATGATAGGTACCTTTTGAAGAATGTATACTATAAATGTGTCCCATATATAAAACAGAATAGTAATTTTTAAATTGTAATTTGGTTGAAAAGTTGTTGAGCTTGGATGCTCTACTTACCCAAAAAAGTTTGGATGCTCCAAGGTGATGTTTGGGAAACAAATGTGACTACCAAACTTCGTCGAGCAATGCTACGTATCATGAAAAAATTTTCATGAAAATGATCATGAAAAATTTATGACTCTTGGATTACACTTAAACTAAAACATCACACACTAATCAAGGTAATCCAAGGATCATAAATTTTTCATGATCAATTTCATTAAAGTTTTTTTTCATGATCCCTATCTTTTCTCAACTTCGTCTCACTCACCACCAGCACGCACACTCACACTCACAACACTGACGGGGTTGGAGAGAGAGAGAGAGAGAATGTTGAAGTTCCTGTCGAAGGTGCGAATAGAGTTCAACGCTCTGGACCCTCGCACCGCGGCGTGCATGGAGTTCTTAGCCCAATGCAACGCTCGCAAGGCCAAAGAATCAAACCCAGCTTGTCAACTCATGGTCAAGCGCCGCACCGACGATCACCCTCCTCAAATCACCGTAACTTTCGTCAATGGAGTCGAAGAGGCATTCGATGCCACCACCACCCCGGCACAAACCATCAGGACCATGATTCTCGACAAGGGTCAGCTTCTCGAGACCGAGCAAATGTTCCGCGACGCCGGTGAGCAGTGGCCTGTTATTATCCCCGAGGAAGAGATCCGTCAAGCAGCCCCTGGTACTAAGGTATGTGTTTCTGAACAAATCTCGGCATTTTTTTGATTCAGACATTTGATCGAACAGTTGGTGGGTCTTTATTATTATTTCTTCATTGTTGTTGTGGGTTTGATTTTCTGTTACATGAATTTGATGGGTTTTTTGTTTTATTCAATTTTTCTTTTCTATATATATATATATATTGTTTATGAGCAATTGATGGATTCTTCAATCATGCGTCTTTATGAGACTTGTAAGAGATATTTGGTTCAAAGTTGGAAAAAATTTCAGATCAGATTTATGGGTCGAATTGCTTGACAATTGGTGAGTTGGTAGGTATACCCATAAAAAGTGGTGAATATTTCAAAAAGAAAAAAGAAAAAAAGTAGCTATTACCATTCATTTTCGAAGTTTGCACCTCATGTTTGGGGAAAATGGAATGTTGGTTTCTCACACTCATGTTGATGAAGCTACCAAAGATTGGCTCAGCAGTGACTTGACATCCATAATTTGTTCCAAACTCAAGCAACCTAAGAAATTAGGATTCATTTTTTTTTTGGTAAGTGAGCATTTTGGTTACCAAAAAAATAGAAAATGTACAATGGAGCTCAATGCAAAGCTCATAATGGCAAATGCAAAGCTGCTAGTTCCAAGAGACGACTACAAAAAACCAAAAAGACCCAGGTGATAAAACATGAACTCTCACAACCCGAGAGCTGTGGCAAAAAATAAAAAAAAGGATTTAGTACTGCAAGAACCATGCGATCCACGAGCTCCATAGCACACTTTGATGATTGTTTGCGTACTTTCTAGTACTTCATATATTTCCAGGGGTAGACATTGAGTTAGGCCTCCCTTTTTTTATGAAAAAATTAAACAAACTATAAATTTTGTAATCATAAAATCAGCTTGGGGGCAAGCATGTGCTACATCAACAATGATACCATAGACACATCTTATAATATTTTTGATTTTCCTTTAAATATTTTCCTCTTTTATTCACATTAATATTTGTGTTTGGCTATTGGTTATTATCCTAGATCTAAAATGCTGAGAGAGTGCATGAGTGTAAAAGGCAAGGCACTAAAGGTAGTAAAGTGGTTTGAAATAGAGACATATTTGTTACTATTTTTCCATCAGGTAAGAGAAAAGTTATGTGTTGATGGATTCTTTTTCTTCTTCTTATCTTTCTTCCCTTTTATATAAGTGCAATACAGTGATAGATATATGATCTGCTTTTGCTGTCCTGTATGAGTAATTGTATGAGGCATAAAATGTGGCCCAAAACCTAAGAAGCATGGACATAGATGTGTACATGGACATGGATACCGACACATGACATGGCAAACGTGAAAAAATGAGGATACAGTCACAGTAGAAATATGACAATTTTTTTTTAAAAAAAATATTTTTATATGTTATGTATATGAATATAAATTAGGGCATATGGAACAAAGATATAAGAGTCATCAATATATATATAGGTGTATTTTTATTTTTTTCACTTTCATTCCTCTTGGTTTTTATATAATTTACTTTTGACCCCAAATCTTTTTTTATAAAATTATTTACAAAAAAAAACCTCACAAAGGTGTCCTAAGGCTTGTCCAAACACAAGATCGGCGTGTCCGTGAAAATGTCCCGAAATTGTCATACAAAAAAATGTGTCATGCGTGTCCCTGGAGTGTCGTTGTCCCATAAGTGTCCAACTTGGACACCCATTTTGAAATGTCAATGCTTCATAGCCCAAGAGGAACAAGTGAAAGTATGAGCATCTGAATTACATAGATCTAGAACAAAGAGCTTTATTCAGTTATACTGATCTAAGTGTACACTAAATGATATACATCAATCAACAAAATCAATACATCAATAATACAATTCTCTATTTCTCTTTATACATTAAATTTCTACATGGTATCAGAGCAAGGTTAAAAATCTTGGTGTTCTTCGCCTTCTGGCGGGCGGCAACCTTGCCTTGACCGCCCGCCGGATCTCAACCAATTGAAACCTCCATCAACTCCAGCAAGAGGCTCACAGTTTTATAAAAAAAAAAAGAAAAAAGAAAAAAAGGGAAATGGCATCATCACCAACAATGGAGTCACTGATTCTGCAATTCCAACACCATCTCCAGCATCTCTCTCTCCCCAATGGCGGACCCTGCACTTCACCCAGAGACTCTACCCCACCAAACCCAGACCCTCAAACAAATCGCCGTCGATGTTCATCGCGCAAGCACCACAAATTTCCTCGCGGCATGATCGCCGGAAGGTTAGGGTTGGGTCGATCTCGTTCTTGATCTTGATGAGGGCTTTTGGTTCGACTTGCTGAGCTTCGACCTCCGATGCGTGGGCTCGGCTGCATACCCGCTTCGCCGCCGGGGAGGACTGCACCCTAGATCTTGCTCGACGGACCAAAGTCTGCCCTCACCTCCCAAAGTCTGCACTCACCTCCCTGAATCCGACTCCATCACAGTACCCTTCGACCACCGCGACGGCGCGCGGTGGCGCTCCACCACTCGTTTCCTCTACGGCACATTCGGTGCCAAAATCCAGTGCCCAAAGGGCAACATTAGCGGCCTCGACTTCACCATCTACCTCTCTGCGCTGAGACCACTCTCGCCCTCTCTTCTCTCTGACTTGGGTTGGGGAAGAGGGGCCTCATCAATTTACAACCACCAGAGTCAAATGAGCAGCAGTCTGATCTCTGGCCTCCTTTGGCTAACCAAGGATGGCTGCCGTGTGTGGATTCCACTAATGGCCCTCCCCTACCAAACGAATCTTAAGGATATCTCCAAGTGGTCTGCGAAGAAGCTATTATATTCTCCAAGTGGTCTAACTTTTTATTTTTTTTTTATTATTATTATTATATCAAATAATTCATGCACTTCTATTCCTAACTCCACTTTCTTTTCTTTTTTTTTTTGTTTTTTATATTTATTTTAATCCCTCTTTTGCAAAGCAACCGAAAGTTTGCACACCCATCATTATCATTTTAGCAACCGTTACACTACGGCCTTTACACCCCGCAACCGCAACCGCGTTACCGCCACCGTTACGGCGACCGCAACCGCTTTTCAGAACCTTGCATACAGCTGATATGAGCATATGAAAAAGATTTTAATCTGAGTGAAAGATGGAATAAACTAATTCTTGTAATATTGTTGTTTGTTGCTAGAGAACTCTTGCCTTGGTGTTATTCTTTTGAGCCAAGGGTTGACAATTACATATAGTTTGAGTATAGATAGCTTTGTGCAGTCTATTTGGTTGTCATTTACCGTAGATGCATCTAATTGCTTGGGTATTCGCATGTTGCCTAGCAACTTGTGGATGCCTTGAATTTTGGTTCTGCTCTTGCAAAAAAACTTGGTGGTCCAGGACTTACCTGGGAAATTTTAGCTAATTAGAGGTTTAGTACCAGATAATGTCGTTTTAGTCTGTTGTGACAAATTATGGTAGAAGCATTAAGTAGTTTAAAACTAAAACTTAAGTACCAGAAATAAACAAATCTTTTGCTGTAGAAAATTGACTGCTTGAAAGAGTCAAGGCATAGTTGGATGTGGTCCTTGTTACAGAAATGCAGTGTACAGATGAATGGCTTCACTGTAAGAATTGCCTATATGTATATATATATATATGAATGAGATGCATTGACAAGCTTATCTTTGAAACATTTAGGAGGTAGTAATTGCTTGCTTGTTAATGAGTCAATCAATGTAAATAATCAAGTTCTCTAAGAAAGGTTGTGCAAACTGATGTTGGTTTATATATTGGTGGAGAGAAGCGAGTTTTCTAAGTATAGTTGCATATATTCTGTCTATAAAAAGCATAGAAGTAGCTTAGCATAGGCTTTTGTGCCCAGCAAGCAAATACATGAGACAAGTAACAACTCAAGATGTGCCAACAAGAGTGCCGGTAACCAAGATTGTGTGCGACATGCATTGATGGGTCCAACAGGACCAGAAATCAACTTGGATGGTATCCCAATTTCTTGATGCATATCCCAGCTGAGTTAGATCCATTAAACATTTGGGGATCAATTGTGTAACTAAGCCTATAGATATAATAAATAAAATATATTTGAAAATTGTTGTCTTGTATCAGTAACCGTGTCCCTCTCTGTCTTCTTAGGTATTACATATAGTGTGTTCCTTAGCTAAAAATTTGACTAAATGACGAATGGTTGGTATGAAGGCTTTGTTGAGTGAGAAGTCATGTCATCTATATACATACCACAGCTGTTTCAGTGTTAGGGCCATTCTTTCTCTGTACTTGTGCCAATATACTAAATGACGAATGGATTCTTCTTTATACTGATTATAAAAATAAAAATTATACTAGAGAAAGAATCCATTTTTTTATTGGCACTAAAATTAATAAATGGCACAAGTATATGAGAAATAAAATTATATGAGAAATAAAATGGATTTTTTTAGTGCCAATAAAATTAATAAATCATTATATGAGAAATAAAAATTATACTAGAGGCCATCCAAGAAATAATCATAAAAAAACAACCACTCATTATATGATTATCATTCAAACACATAATAAAAATTAATTTGGTAAAAAATAAATAAATAAATGTCTAAAAAATTTATTAATTTTACATAATTTTACCTTCAGTGGATAGAAATAATTTTTAAAAATTTAAAAATTATTTTTTGACATTTATTTTTGTGAAATTAGTTTATATTTATCAAATTGACGATTTTACCCTAGAAATAAAACAATAGTATCTTCAATTGTCCTTATTTGGAACAAGATTCAAAATTCAGGTCCAAATGTATCACAATTGAAAAATTAGGGACCAAAGCGACATGACTATCAAACTATAGGAACTAATTCGTCATTTTTTTGACGAATTACACTAACAGTCCTATAATTTTGGGCTCGTGTCACTTTAGTCCCTGACTTTTTAATTGTGACACATTTGACTCTGAATTTTAAATTATGTTTCAAATAAAAACAATTGAAGATATCATTACTCAATTTCAATGGCAAAGTAATCAATTTGATAAATATAAACTAATTTGATAAAAATAAATGTCAAAAAAAATATTTTTAAATTTTTAAAAATTATTTTTCCCACCAAAGATAAAATTATATAAATTTAATAAATCTTTTACACATTTATTTATTTATTACCAAATTAATTTTTATTATATGTTTGGATAATGATCATGTAATG